ATATATAGATATTCCTATATCCTCTTTTAATATAATTTATTAAAGATCTTATCTTATTAATTAAAGTTCTGTAATCTAGTTAATTATAGTATTTTATTAATACTAAAAAAATCCCTGGTTTAATTTTAGGTAGAACTATATTTTTATAGATTTATTAAGATTTATATCTCTTTTTTCTCTTATTACTTATAACTCTATAAAATTAGGTTTAAATCTTACCTTTCTAGATATCTCTATTAGTCTTATAGCCTAGTTAGTTATAGTATCTTATTTATACTAAGAAGGTCCTCGGTTCAAGCCTAAGTAAAACTATTCTTTTACTTATTAAAAGTCTATCCCTTTTATTACTTATTTAAATATTAGAAGCAGTTATATATAATTATATTGCTTGTTAAGTTTAAATTATTATTAATTTTAGTTATTATATTACTATCTTTAATTGAGAATCCTAAATATAGATAGAAATGTAAGCGTAGTAATATTTTTTATAATTACCTAGTATTTATTAGTCATCGCCAACTATGTCTTAAGGCTTAATTCCTGTCCATTTCCTCTCATCTCATCTCAACTGCCTCATCTCACGCAATTCTCATTCTTGTTCTCGCATAAAATCGTCAGAATGGGTGTGATCGGACTCACTGCCAGCGGCCTCGTCGGCGCTTTGCACAGCTACATCTTGGTTCTCGAAATGTTTCTCTGGACTAAGCCTCGTGGAAGAAAGGCCTTCAGACTCACACCCGAATTCGCTGAGCAGACCAAGATAATGGCTGCCAATCAGGGCCTCTACAACGGCTTCTTGTCAGCTGGACTGATTTGGTCGCTTCTTCACCCGAACCCCGAGTTCTCAAAGCAGCTCCAGATCTTCTTCAACGGCTGTGTCTTGGTTGCGGGTGCATATGGTGGTCTCACCGCCAACAAGAAGATTCTCTACATCCAGGCTGCTCCCGCAGCTCTCTCTCTTGGACTCGTTCTGTTGGATATGTAGAGTGTTATTATGAAAGTATGGATTCAATCCCCAAGACCCTTAGCCGCTAACCTTCTGATAGTATGATATGTATACAATTTATTGAGCTTGAATTGTTTGTTTATCCGTCCCAGCCTAGACATATACCGCCGACAGCCATGGCGAGATTCCGAAGTGAGATTATAGGTGTGAACTGTGGCCGCTCACCAGTGTGACCTTGAGACGCCATCGCAGGAGGCTCATTGACGCGATGCCCGGTTTGAAGGAGTCGGTCGATACTGGCGGTCAATTGTGCCAACAGAGGTCAAGTCCTGATTTTGTCGACATGCTCTCCATTCTGCCGTCCGTGTGAGGGTTCATTGGCTGATCATCGCATTGTAGTTATGGAGGTCACGGCCCTTCTCGCAGTCGTTCGGGGATTGGGTGGATTTCAGAGTCGTCGTCGGTATCCTTATGCTCAACGCATTCGTCGGCTTCTACCAAGAGAAACAAGCCGCAGATGTCGTCGCTAGTCTCAAGGGTAATATCGCGATGCGATGCACGGTAATACGTGACAGCGACGAACAGGAAATTCTGGCGCGAGAACTTGTTCCCGGAGACATCGTAAGTTGTTCCTTCTTGAGGCCGTCAGACTTGAGTCGTTCTTGCAACCATGACTGATCAATGCCGTAGCTCATAGTTCAAGAAGGCGTTACCGTGGCTGCAGATGCTCGCCTTGTCTGCGACTATATACACCCGAAGATTTTGAACTTTACAAACGTCTCCGAGCCGAAGGTAAACCCGACCGCAGCGATGAGGGAGATGCTCGCCTTATCTATGACTATACACGCCCCGAAGATTTTGAACTTTACAAACGTCTCCGAGCCGAAGATAAACTTGGCCGCAGCGACGAGGAAGATGATATTATCTGCGACTATACAAGCCCCGAAGATTTTGAACTTTACATACGTCTCCGAGCCGAAGATAAACTCGACCGCAGCGATGAAGAAGATGAATTTGCGGATGGCGCAGACAAAGAACAAGATCATGATACGTCGACAGAACACGATGCCCATCAACACAGTCAAGAGCAGGAGCCACACGACTACCGAAACCGTCCTCTCGCAGCCATTGATCAGTCTGCTATTACTGGCGAGTCGCTTGCTGTCGAGAAGTATCTTGGCGATATGGTATACTATACCACTGGCTGCAAAAGAGGAAAAGCCTTTGCTCTTGTTCAAACTACTGCCAAAGAGTCTTTCGTCGGCCGCACTGCAGACCTCGTCCAGGGAGCCAAGGATCAGGGCCATTTCAAGGCTATCATAAATAACAGTGAAACCTCGCTTCTTGTTCTTGTTATATTCTGGATCCTCATAGCCTGGATCGCAGAATGTTCCCTATTATGCTCTTGTTCTTCTTACTATTACCTTAAAGCCAAAGATAGTTCATTAATGCTTAATGGAAGGAGTCATCAGAGCTCTGGCTTGCATGGCAAATGTGAATCAGGCAACGGCGAACAGAAGATGGGAAGGATATATTACTGAAAAGGCTATGGAAGTAGAATCTCCTCCTTGAACAGAAGGAAATAACTGCGCGCCTACCTCCCTACCCAGGTAGGTAACCACGAAACACCAACCTCATCCCTGCCTTCATCGACAAACCTACAAACTTCACACTTCCATACAACAACCACGAAACACCAACCTCCATCCCTGCCTTCATCGACAAACCTACAAACTTCACACTTCCATACACTCATGCCATACCACAATACAACGATCTAGATATCATCATCTTCATCAGCAGCCTTCTCCGCCAGCATAAACCTGCTCTTTCCAGTCTTCTCGTCAACCTCATGCTCGATGGCAAGCTTCTGGAGGTGGCCGAGAATGTTTTCCAGCTTGGTATCCTTCTTCTTGCGATCTTTCCTACCTAAGTTGTCTAACCAAGACAGTTTGTTGAGAACGAAGTAAACGATAGCGATGACGACAGTCACACCGAAAGAATAAAGCCAGACGATTACCACAGTTACGATGTCGACCCACCCGTTACTGCTCTGCTTGAAGCTCGACTCCGGGTGGGAAATCTCGCCCCTGCCGGACATCCAGCCAAAGAGACAAAAGAGAGTGGCGAGGACATCCACTCCGAGAATTGCGAACACGAGTTGCCACGACGGCCACGTCTTACCGCCTCGTGTGACGAAGATGAGCCAGTTCTCTGTGAGGGCGACTTCGAGGAAGAGGATCTCTTGGATGGAACCGAAGTTCTGAACGAAACCTCCATTGGGCAGAAATAATGCGCCTCTTAATACCCACGTGGCGAGAGCTAGGAGGATCCCAAGAATTACACTCATAACCCACTATTACAATGTTAGCATTCGTCAGCAACTGGTTGTGCATACCCTCGACACCAGCCGAGGGTGATTGTCTTCTGAAACACCGATCTGGATTTACCAAACCTCGAAAGGCAGGAAAAACTCACAATCTTGGGTACTGTCATTCGTTAGCTTCCTTCGCCAATGGACGAAATGTTCCGTCAAGAAAATCGTGGGCACGAATTATGGAATTTACTTACGTTGCCACTCTACACGTCTCGGTTTCCCAATGAGCAGCTACTGTTATTATGTTGGCATTCCACTGGTTGTGCATACCCTCAACACGACGCATCACCGGCCGAGGGCAATCGTCTTCTGGGATACCGATCTGGGTCAGGAGGGGTACCCTCCTGAGGGGCGGGCCAGCTCGCCGCCGCTTATTGCATCTCAAATTGAATGTGCATTCCAGTGGTAATGTGCGCACCAGTGGTTTACCACTGGGACATCACATTCGCCATTCCCGTCATGCCTGAGGTTGACATCTGCGATTTCCAATTCAGTACCCACCGACATGTCGTCGCTCCTTCCCCAGTCGCGCTTATCGCGACCCCACCGACCACTCACATCACTCGAACCTGCCGCCGACCACTCACAGCGCTTAGCCNNGGCGCCGTGGCTGGCGCCACGGACGTTTTCCCGGCCTTCGGCCGGGAAAATTACTTACGCTTTCATTCTCCGAAATATCTAACGGGCGGTCTTAATTGCCAGGATAATTGTACTTAGGCCTGGGGTAAGAAAGACGATATCTGCTGCGGCCTGGGCAGCTTTAGAGGCAGCCTACGATGATTATGGAGAGCGTGAGATAGATTTCTAGGTGGAGATAGAGGGCAATACGGTATTGGATGTATGCTTTTATTCTCTGGAATATTTGCCGAGCGGTTTTGATGGCCAAAACGATCGTGCTCAGGCCGGGGGCGAGGAAGACGATATCTGCTGCCGCCTGAGCGGCTTCTGAAGCACCCTCCACTGCGATACCACAATCAGCCTTCTTCAAGGAGGGGGCGTCGTTGACACCGTCGCCGGTCATTGCTGTGAGGTGGCCTCTTTGTTGCAGCATTTCGACAACCGTGTACTTGTGCTCGGGAAACACTTCTGCAAATCCATCTGCACGCTCCACGAAGTCATGCTGTACACTTCCGGACAACCCGCCATGGATGAGTCGTTCCGAGTTATACACTTTTGTACCGAGGGACAACATTTTGCAGGTTTCTTTTGCAATGGCTATGGCATCTCCAGTCAACATCTTGACGGGGACTCCAAGGTGGCCTGCCTCGATGATTGTCTGGGCCGTATCCTCTCGAGGAGGATCGAACATGGATAGCAAACCCAAAATGATCCAGGGACCATCGTTCTTCTTATAAGCGACACCAAGCGAACGGAATCCCCTTTGAGCAAAATCTTGAGCCTTCTCTTTATAGATTCGGCTTTCGTCCTCCGAGCCTAAAGCCAGTTTCAGTACCGCTTTGGGGGCTCCCTTGACACACCAGAACTTGTCATTCCCGAGGCGGCAAACCGCAGTAATGCGTTTAGAGACAGGATCGAAAGGTGTGAACGACTCGGTCACCCATCCTTGCTTGAGAATCTCCCTGGCTTCGGGGTAGCGCTTGAGCGTAAGAATAGTGACTTTGTCGATGGGATCTAGGGTTCTGAGGTTATGACTCGAAGCAAGAGCTGCGACCGCCATCATCCAATTGACGTCTAGGCCTTCTGCCAGCCAAGGATCTCGAATCGATAGCTTGTTGGCAGTCAACGTGCCAGTCTTGTCAGAGCATAGAATGTCAACACCAGCAAGAGATTCAATGGCAGTGAGCTTTTGGACGATGGCCTTCTGTTTCGCAAGATACGCTGCTCCGACGGCGAGTGTCGTGGTTGTCACCACCGGAAGACCAACAGGAACACCTGGTTCGGAACCATTAGCCAAGCTCTTTCCATAAAAATTGATATAGGGGTTTTCGAAGCCTACCAATAATGAGAAGAACGAGAGTATAGTGGAGAAGATTCTGCGATCCAGGCTATCAGAATCCAGAACATTACAAGCACGAGAAGCGAGGTTCTAATGTTGTTTATGATAGCCTTGAAGTGGCCCTGATCCTTGGCTCCCTGGATGAGGTCTGCAGTGCTTACCCAATTCCACGGATCTCGAGTCGATGGGTTGTTGGCAGTCAACGTGCCAATCTAGTCAGGCGGTTGCACGAATTCTTTGCTAAAGATACGATGGAGATATAAAGAGATACGACGCGGATATAAAGAGATGCGACACGAATATCAAGACATGCAAACGCCGCGGCAGGCAAATACTTTAATGTATTGGTAAGAGAGGCTATTGCGAGTGCGACTATCGAAAAGGATGGCGGATTTCTCAAAGTCGAGGACATAACGACACGAATGTCAAGAGATGCAAACGCCACGGCGGGCAAATACTTTTGATGTATTGGCGAGATAGGCTATTGCGAGAGCGGCTGTCGGAAAGGATGGTCTTGTGAGATAGTGATCTATCTGTGCATATTGACCAGGGTAAACCTCATCGTCGCTCGAGACTTCTTCGACAAGTCAAAGAGCACGGGACTCCGATAAAGCTAGTCGCTCGCGTTCGCCTAGTGTGGTGAACCATTCAGTGTGTTGGGCAATCAGGTCAAATTCGGCTGTTGTAATTGACTGGGGGCCTTCTCGTTGGATGCACATTGACCAGGGTAAACTTCATAGTCGGTCGAGACTTCCTCGAGAAGTCGAAGAGTACGGGACTCAGACAAAGCTAGTCGCTCGCGTTCGCCTGGTGTGGAAGACTTCCTCGAGAAGTCGAAGAGCACGGGACTCAGATAAAGCTAGTCGCTCGCGTTCGTCTGGTGTGGTGAACCATTCAGTGTGTTGCGCAATAGGTCAAATTCGGCTGTTGTAATCAACTGGTGGCCTTCTCGTTTGATCAAGACGCTCTCCAGATCTGGCTCAATATGATCCATTGTGTTTCTCGTTCAAGGACATGACGACACGGATATCGAGAGATGCAAACGCCACGGCGGGCAAATACTTTGATGTATTAGTGGGAGATTGATGATGAGCATATGATGACTACTCTGTCAATAGACCTTGGGGGGCCAAAGTTCAGTAAAACTCATGCATGTCATTAGGCCTAAAGTTATAAAGCTTTAGGTAAATGCTGATAAAGAGGTCCAAGTTGAGACGAGAATTTGATGACTTGATAATCTATTTTAGTGCTCGATAGCGATTAATATGCATGGCCCAAGCTTTTTATCCCAGGGTGTGGTCCAGCCTGCACGAAATCTTCCGAATCACACTCAATGTGTTTCCTCAAGGGCAATTGCAACCCTATTTCCATTTTCAGGGTGCAATGAGATTGTTTTCGCATCACCGATGACTCAATGAAGCATCCATTGATATCTTCACTGCGGCGGGCTCTTTACCTGCCGTTCAGTGCTCCTGCTTCTGCTCCTGCTTCTGCTCCTGCTCGTTCAGCGCTGACGAAACCCGGAGGCTACGATGCCGACCTGCCGATGATCCGTCGCACCTTCCATTCAGGACCCCTCCCCCGCATCAGCGCAAGAGCTAGAGCCTCAACTTACGGGTCAGCTCCTTCTATAACAACACCATATCAACCTCACCGCTCTCAATTACATTCCTTTTCCTCCTCTACCTTTACCACAGCTTCTTCCCCTCGATCGGTTCTCACTCAACCTCTCCACAACTCAAAAGCCTCTTCTCTCGTCCCTCGTCAGCAGCAGCGTAACTGCTCTTGTCGACGAGCCATGTATCGCAACGGAAACGATGTCGCTAGCGCGAGTCTCGACATTCGTCGCGGGCGTGAAGTTCTTCCCAAGAATGTCAAGCCCCTGCACTACGATCTCACCCTCGAGCCAAACTTTGAGACCTTCAAGTATGAAGGTACCGTCATCATCGACTTCGATGTCGTCGAAGATTCAACCTCTATTTCCCTGAACACGGTCGAAATTGATATCCACGAGACACTCGTTGAAGCCAATGGTGCCACTGTTAGCTCCTCGCCTACCCTCGATTACAACAAGGACACCCAAACCACCAGCGTTAGCTTCGATAAGACGATTCCCGCCGGTCAAAAGGCGAGGTTGACTCAACGTTTCACCGGTACTCTCAACGATGACATGGCAGGTTTCTACAGGTCATCATACAAGGACGAAGATGGCAACACCAAATACCTTGCTACCACCCAGTTCGAGGCCACCGATGCTCGCCGTGCGTTCCCTTGCCTGGACGAGCCAGCTCTGAAAGCGACATTCACCGTAACACTCATTGCTGACAAGGATCTGGTATGCTTGGGTAACATGGATGTCGCTTCTGAGAAAGAAGTCGACTCAAAGGTTACAGGCAAGAAGCGCAAGGCCATTACTTACAACAAGACTCCCATCATGTCTACCTACCTTCTGGCTTTCGTCATTGGTGACCTCAAGTCCTACGAGACCAACAACTTTCGAGTCCCTATCCGAGTGTGGTGCACCCCTGATCAAGACCTTGATCATGCCGTCTTTTCCGCTGAGCTAGCCGCACGAACACTCGAGTTCTACGAGCAGCAATTTGGCAGTCAATATCCTCTTCCCAAGATGGACATGGTTGCTGTGCCTGACTTTGCTGCTGGAGCCATGGAGAACTGGGGTCTCATCACATATCGAGTCGTTGATCTTCTACTGGATGAAAAGACCAGCAGTGCCGTCACCAAAAAGCGGGTGGCTGAGGTCGTTCAACATGAGCTGGCTCATCAGTGGTTCGGCAACTTGGTCACAATGGACTTCTGGGATGGCCTTTGGCTAAAGGAAGGTTTCGCAACGTGGATGTCTTGGTATTCCTCTAACGCTTTCTACCCCGAGTGGAGGATTTGGGAAGGCTATGTTACCGAGGATCTCCGATCTGCCCTCGGTCTCGACTCTCTGCGCAGCTCTCATCCCATTGAAGTGCCTGTCAAGCGTGCTGATGAGGTCAACCAAATCTTCGATGCCATCTCATATGAAAAGGGCTCTTGTGTTCTGCGCATGATCTCAAAATACCTGGGCGAGGACGTCTTTCTGAAGGGTATCCGAATCTATCTCGACAGACACGCATACAGCAACACTGAGACCACAGACCTTTGGGCCGCTCTCAGCGAGGCCAGTGGTAAAGATGTTGAGCGCGTTGCTGATATCTGGACCAAGAAGGTTGGTTATCCAGTCGTAGCAGTCACCGAGGACGAAGGCAAAGGCACAATCCATGTCAAGCAGAACCGGTTCCTTAGGACGGCCGATGTCAAGCCTGAGGAGGATCAAGTCCTTTATCCTGTCTTCCTCAACCTTCGAACTAAGGACGGTATCCAGGAAGATCTGGCACTCAACACACGTGAGGCAGACTTCAAGGTGCCTGACTTTGACTTCTACAAGATCAACTCTGGCCATTCTGGTATCTACCGTACATCTTATACTAGCGAGCGACTTCAAAAGCTTGGTCAAAACGCCAAGGCAGGTCTCCTGGGTGTTGAAGACAGGGCCGGTATGATTGCTGATGCCGGTGCCCTTGCCGCTGCTGGTTACCAAAAGACATCCGGCTTGTTGTCACTCCTCCAAGAATTTGACTCCGAAAACGAGTTCATTGTCTGGGATGAGATCACTCTCCGTGTCGGATCTCTCCGTGATGCTTGGATCTTTGAAGATGATGATGTCAATGAGGCTCTCAAGACTTTCCAGAGGGATCTGGTCAGCAAGAAGGCTAATGAGATCGGTTGGGATATTTCTGACAAGGATGACTTCACCGCCCAAAGAATGAAGGCTCTCATGTTCGGTAAGGCCGCCATTGTTGAGGACGAGCCTACAAAGAAGGCCGCCTTCGAATTGTTCGAAAAGTTCGTCAATGGCGATCGAGATGCTGTACAACCCAACCTGCGACCTAGTGTTTTCGCTGTTGTGGTTACCTATGGAGGCGAGAAGGAGTATAATGATATTTTGAAAGAATACGAGACTGCCAAGCAAAGCAGTGAGCGAAACACTGCTCTCCGATCACTTGGTTTTGCAAAGGATCCTGCGCTTATCAAGCGAACTCTGGAGTACACTCTCAGCGATAACATCAAGACCCAGGATATCTACATGCCCCTCAGCGGTCTCCGCGCTCACAAGGAGGGTATCTTGGCCCTTTGGGGATGGGTCAAGGACAACTGGGACGTTCTCACCAAGCGACTCCCGCCTGGCATGTCACTCCTTGGCGATATGGTCGCCATTTCTACGAGCTCTCTCACACACGAGGACCAGATTTTCGATGTCAAGAGCTTCTTTGAGAAGAAGGGCACAAAGGGATTTGACCTTGAGCTGGCCCAGAGTCTTGATTCTATGACTGCCAAGCAAAATTGGCTTGCCAGGGATAAGGAGGATGTCAAGGAGTGGCTACGCAAGAACAAGTATTTGTAAATTAGTTGCATAAAGAACGAGACAGGATGCTCAAGCATGGTTGCATCTGCATGAATAAGCAATTTTGAATAAGGAACCGTCTTTCCGACTCTTATGCTATATGCTGGTGCTACACCAATATATGTTCTTCCCTCATGTCGGAATGCTCAAGAGGTGCTGCATAAAGTGATTCAAGTCGTTTTATGCAACGATAGAAGTCGAGAATGTTGGTTATTTCGAGAAAGATATAGCTGGATCACATAAGAGAATAGCAACAGTGATGCAAGATTTCTTTGTTCGTCTATTATACATGTACAGATATACAGTCATACATCACCTCTGTTCATACAACTCACATGAACTTTTAGGCCTTACCAGTCAGCCAATCCCTTTCCATATTCTTGCCATATTTCCCTGTGCCAGTAACGGGCAGATCTCGCTTTTGTAACTCCTCCTCAATAACCTTCCAGCGACCAACAGCAACCTCACGGTCAATAGGTGTGACTCTCCTGTTGTGCACCTTGACGTTAGGAAGTGCAAACAGTGCCTTTTGATCCTCAAGAACCTCGGCGAGCTTCTTGCCCCGCTTGGCGAATGTTAGGGCTACAGTGATGAGCTCTTGTGGTGTGCGGGCGGCGGCGACCTTGACGTCGGGAATGAAGTGGCCTGTGAGTTGGTAGATACGCTTGCGGATCTGCATATTGTCAGTGCAAATCACTTATGGGAAGAGGTGGGTGCATACAGCAAACTTTAGGTAGTCATCGTCAAGAGTGGCGGTCTTCCATGAGGGGTCGATAACATTGACCATCTGCTGGGCCTCCTCGGGAGAAATCTCAACCTTTTCCTCGACCTCTCCGGGCCCAGCATGCTTCAGCCTCTCGGTGACAGCACTCCAATGAGTGCTGAGAAGAGGCTTTCCATCCTTAAATCGAATTCCCACAGACAATGTTCGGTCCAGGTGGGCCCTATCACCATAAGGCCACTTCTTTACCGCATATTCCTTGAGAAGTCCTCGCTGCTGGTATGAAAGTGACTCAACCAGAGCTTGTCGTACGTAAATCTCCATAACTGCTTGATCCTCTACTCGGTTTGCGCTGCCAAACCCTTGGAATTCGCTCTCCTCACCCCAGTGACCTGGTTGGTCCCACCATGTCTTGACGGGTGAAATTTCCTCAAGTTCATCAATTGAAGTCGCAGGCGTATATTCGGTATCGACAGACTCGACCTCCTTCTCGGTCATGGCTTCGGAATGGCCTGGAGGTAGCACGAGACGAGTGGTGCGCACAGGGTATGGTCTGCGGTCGACATTTGAAAGATCCAAGGCCTCCTCTGGCAAGTTTGAAGTCTGTTCTGGTTCCACTCTTTCTTGATAAGGATCATCGCCTCCGGGAGCTTCACCCTTCCACAGCTTATCTCGGAGCCATTCGGCCTTGCGACCAGCTGCGTGGACGGGGGTTGTTGAGAAGGTGACGCGGGCAACGAAGGGGACTCGGTTGACGGGGACGACTGTTGATTGAAGAGAGGCTAGAGCCCCTACCCGCGGTATTCGAGGCATTTTGACGTGACGAATCGGCGAACTGAGAGAGAGCCGAAAGAAGTCGTGATAATGAGACGGTTAGAGATCGGCTTCAATATGGAACTTTTTCCAGTGTGTATCTATTGGCCAATGGGGTTTTACGAGGCTGAAGTGGATACTCTGATCTGGCCCACTTGTTGTCAACTATCGATAGCCTCAAGTGATTGACGTGCGACCTCCATGATCGATAAGACATTATCTACAGCCCAAATTAGCCGTAATGGCACGAATATCTCTGTTTATCCTCCTGCTAGGAGCTTTAGTCTCCCTTGCCGCAGCTTGTTAGTACAACGTGCATCTACACTGAACAACGCTGACGCATTCCAGCCGCGCCAACCTTCTGTAAATGCACATGCTTTAAGAACAGCACCATCATCCCCCTGGGTCCCAAAGGCGAAACATCCTCATCGCAGCTCCGTCGCGCCGTTCTCGATTTCTCAACCCCTCATCTCGAGCCACGTTCGAAATCGAAATCATGCTCCGAATGTACCAAGGCCTTTTGTCTCAAGCAGGGCATTGACTTCTGCAAGGACGCGACAGAAGAGGACGTCACGACCATGTGCTTTCAACGTGACAGCAACAAAGACAAGATCATCGTATGGGCTTTCATTATTGGCACTGTTGGATTGTTGGGCTGGGCTGCGTTCAAGAAGGTTGCGGCGTTACGCCAGGGGCCTACGTTTGGAAGACAGGGCAGCAATTATGCTCCTATGCAAGGGAACTTCCGATGAGACGATCAAGGATATAGCATCTTACTCCTCTGTGTTTGAGTTGGTGTAGTATCCGTGGTTCAGTCACTCGGTAGAGGAGTCTGGCGTCCTTGGGATATCTGAGGTTTACAGGAGGTCAGTTGACCCCTTTGGCAATGTTCGGAATATTCATGAGTGTATATGATAAAAAGATCAGGCATTGTGCCAATTTCCATGCAACCTATATGCGCCGACTTTTCCATCACCTGACCATTCTACCTAGGTCTATTCATTAACTCCCAAAACAACACAGCATTTTTGAACTAAATCCTCGTATTCCGCTCCTTCTACTCCACGGGTGCAACCTTCTAAGAGCGGTTGACCTTGCGGCGAGTGCGGACAGCATCAGCCAAGTCCTCGAGCACAACGGCTGTGTCCTCCCAGTTGATGCAAGCATCAGTGATGCTGACACCACGCTGGAGAGCAGCAGGGCCCTCGGCGGGAACCTTTTGGTTACCCTCGCCAATGTTGGACTCGATCATAACACCAATGATGGCCTTCTCGCCCTCACGAAGTTGTTCGCCAACGACCTTGGCAACCTTGGGCTGGTTCTTGTGGTTCTTGGAAGAGTTACCTGACACATGTTAGTATTCCCAACTCGATTGTTATAGTTTGCAACATACCGTGGGAGCAATCAATCATGATAGCCTCCTTCTGCTTCTTATCCTGAAGGATCTTCTTAGCAGCCTGGACACTCTCCTTGTCGAAGTTTGTGCCCTTGGTTCCACCACGGAGAATAACAAAGCAGTGCTCGTTACCCTTGGTGCGGGTAATAGCAGCAAGGCCTTGCTTTGTGACACCCATGAAGTGGTGCTGAGCAGCAGCAGCGCCAATAGCGTCAATGGCAACACCAAGGCTACCGTCTGTGCCGTTCTTGAAACCAACAGGGAAAGACAGGCCGGAAGCAAGCTCACGGTGCAGCTGGGACTCGGTAGTACGGGCGCCAATGGCACCGACAGAGATGCAGTCGGCGAGGAACTGAGGAGAAATGGTATCGAGCATCTCGGTGGCAATGGGTAGACCCTTGCTGGTCAAGTCAACGAACAGCTGGCGGGAAACACGGAGACCCTTGTTGATCTTGAAAGAGTTGTCGATATCGGGATCGTTGATGAGACCCTTCCAGCCAACGGTTGTTCGGGGCTTCTCGAGGTAGGCGCGCATCACGATGCAGAGATCGTCGGAGAGCTTGTCAGAGAGCTCCTTGAGTCTGGAAGCGTATTCCTGGGCGGCGGCAGGGTCGTGAATAGAGCAGGGGCCGACAACGACGAGGAGTCTGTCGCTCTCGCCAAGGACAATGTCGGCAGCATCTTGACGGCCCTTGACAACGGTGTTTGTGGCCTTCTCGGGGAGAGGGATCTCGGAGGTGAGAAGAGCGGGAGGGATCAGAGGATCCTGTCCGAGGACTGGTTCGAGTTAGCTGCGGCTCTTGGTGTGTTACGAATACAGCGTGGGGGTATTGTTGCAATTGAGAATGCTGTGAGCCCAGAGCCAATTGCAGAAAAGAAGCTCCCTGTGTCGCCTCTGAGGTGGTGAAGCATTGCGCCGCAAGGAGAGCTGCCACAAAGCATCATGACTTCTCAGGGCCCAATTGCAGCGCAATTCCAAAAGAACAACAATCTTGGTGGGGAAAACTAACCTCTGGTGTCATCGGCAGCGATACTGACCATTTCTACGGCTGAAGGCATTGTGAATATGTGAGCTATTGAACTTGTCCAAGGTTGAAATTTTGATATGGAGGGGCACAGTTTGGTCTACCTTTGGAGGGAAGAGATATAGTATTTCAGTGAAGCTCAACGGAGTAGGCGACCAAGGTGAGTCAAAAGAAACTTTAATACGAGCGCCACGGGGCTGAAGACGGTGATGTGCGTTGAAAGGTAGAGAAAAGGTATATGAGGTCAAGCGAGAGAGAGAGAGAGAGAGGTTCAGCTGTACTGTAGACACAAATTTTTGCTTGGCTCAGGGTGACTCTTCTCGCACCACTCACTCACTAACTCACTACCACACCGGAGGTCCTTCGGAGGGGACCCCACCGAGGGGTTGTGTTTTTTGCAGGGAGTTACATGCGAAATACATTGACCAACTACGTCAGGGTTCTAGAATCTCTGAAATTATCAATGGTCTAAGCTCAATTGGCTCCGGTCTGGGTCCGTGGTAGAGCTCAAGTTGCCCAACATCTCGGTGAGGCCTGGCCAGTAAATACTGGACCAGACATGTGCATTCATCTCAGTCCTCGAAACAAAGCTCAAACAGCAGACCGCCTATGCCGGAGGCTTCTTTTTCTGTATGCAAGAAACGGGCGATACCTTTTTACCGCCGCGTTCGCTTCCCTTTCAGCTCGTGGGTGCAACCTCCGCAGTTTTGTGAGAGGCCATCATGCACCACGGTTCACTGTCGCATTGCATTAGCTCTCGACGAGTTGGTGCGGTAAGACAGAGCAAACAATGGAAACACAATATTCGAGCATCAGCATCGCAAGTTCTCTCTGAGACGATCATGTCTTCCCTCAGCCATTGAGTACCTATCCACGATCCCTTTTGCCAAACTCCTATTCCCCCTCGTGTTCATTGACGACAATAATGTTCGGGCCTACGGAGTGTGATAATTTCGATCCGGGTTCAAGGGTCTCGTCCCAAGCAACTACCTAGCGTCCAATAACATGGGCTACTTCTCCCTACCAATAAACGCGTCTCGGAATACAACGTGAATCAAACATACGATTATCAACTGTAACCCTTTTGAATAATATGAACTTCGTGTGAAATATAATTGCATCTCGGAAGAAACGGGACTAGGGATGGGTTTTCGGTGACGTCGGTATGTGAACATATTGTGACACGGCTTGCTGGTATCGTGGCTGTTTGCAAATCTCCCCACGTTTAGAAGTTTGTATGTTCATCACAGTAACACAAGGAATGCGTGTCGCCGAGAAAAGGGGGGCAACAAACCGTCCAACGATTATTCAACGATTTATCGTAATTCATGCAGTCGAGGATGTGATACTTGTCAAGAAGAAGTAGTTCGTGTCACATCCCAGATAGTTCTCGACGATCGAGTTTTTGAGATACTTACTACCCTACATCGACTCGGATGACCCAGTGGCCGAGCAATGGATCGACCAACTGCAGAAGCTGTCTCAGACATCCCCGAGCCAAATCGAGACCCGTTTCTGACATCTCAGAAGGAACACGCACTCACTGAGACTCAAGCCGAGTGAGCGAAACATAGCTGAAACTAAGACATACAGAGTTCCGTTGCCAACATGTCAACTCTCACAACTCTCGTCAAACATGGTGAAGCGCGTTGCGTCTGAGAGCCTCGCATCGCCTCGGGGAGCGGATCTGTTGGTCCGTGAGACCCTTGTGTAGTCCAGGCTGTCCACTCAGCCCGCCTCTTTACTCTTCTCGTGTAACTCACGTCGTGAACCTGAGCGAGCATAGCATGAGGCTACGAGCATGAACATGAGCATGACAAGCCTCAATCATTCATCAGGGATCGTGCCGATTAAGTCATCGGATTGTCCAAGGGATCGCTCGGATTCTCGGCGACCCCACGACTAACACGACTTTGGCCAGTAGTAGCATGAGGCATTGGAATCGGATCGTCTGGTCTGTTGCAAGGTGCGCCGTGGCGTTGGTACAAACTTTGGCTTACCATCCCATCCATTTCTTGCACTTTCATTCACAGAACCAACCAACCAACCCCTTTTCCTTTTTGACAATCATTACAATTCGATTCCATTCACTGTTTTCTTTTCGTTGAGCTTCTAGTCAAGCTGTCGTATCACTCACTGACGTGTATTGCTTTTATTTAATTAACCTAACTCGTCAATTGCTGCGCAAATCATCTTCAACCACCTCTTTTTGTCCTTTGTTTACTTTCGTACTTTCATCCCATGTTCTTATCACCAACGTCTTCGCCCTTCACCAACGTCCGAGTATAACCACCCCCAAGCTACTCCGTATATCCAAGACATTATAGATCAACTTATTTCCCCGCTCCTTCCAATTGTCTCACTTATTTTCTGATATTCACTTCCTTATACCCTCTTTTGATTTGCTGTTGGTCCTCCTTTTTCAAGCAACAGTCGGCCCCAGCCAGCCCCAAAACCAATTCCCAGCCTCCGCCCACCAGCTTTACTGCTGTGCGTTCCAACTTCCAAGCTTCGCTCCCCACCCTCACAGGCTATTATAGGCTACCACAGGCTGCCTACAGAACCCAGCCGATCCACACTAGTCCGTGGCTTCCTTCGCCGACAACAGGCCGCCACTTCCCTCGTGAATCGGATGCTCACTAACAACTTGCCCACGCCGACCAAACTCTCTTCAACTCTCTACGACCCAACCTCTTGCTCTCTACCTTGGCTTTGTCATTGACGTTATCGCACCGCACCACATCACATTCATATTTGTCGGCAGCATCACCGCCGACTCGACACTTTGCTTTATCTCGTATTATCACGTTACTATACTACACCACTCACTCGTCTTGCATCGGATACCCCCGCGGTGCTACTGCTACTGTAACTACGACCCCAGGGACCTTTGTCCGTCGACATTAGAGAGCCGTATCCACCTGTGTTAATATCCAGGGTCCGACAGCAAAGTCGACATCATCTGTTCCAGGTTGTCGGATTTGTTCAGTATTTTCTGACCACAACTGCTTTTTCACCAAATCAATATACAGCCAGTGATAAAAATGTTTGCTGTTCAGAATGCTGGCTTCGATCAGCGGAAACGAGCCCGTGAAGAGGAAGAACTCGCTCATGCCAACGGCATGAGCTTTAGTGAGCACCGCAACGTAAGTTTCCTGCAATCCCAGCCACGAGGGCGCTTTCACATGATGTCGAATACTAACGATGTGGCAGAAACGTATACAGTGCCTTCCACTCCGTGCATATCCTAGAACGACACAATGGCAATCTGATGCGCCCATGCCGGCCCCGAGCTTCGCCCCCCACGATCACCTTCAGCCAGAAATTCGACAATGGCCATCATCAACGAACATGACATCACAGTCCCATGTGGACACCGACATGGATATGATGCAGACATATCAACCTCAACATCATGAGCCGGGCCGACTTGGGGTGATGCACCAAGAATCTGACAACGCAAACGGGCGTTTGCCCACGCCTATTCAGCCAAGCTTCGCTGCACAGGTTCGAGGTCAACAGGCTGTGACAACTCCTAACGGTGTTGCAAACCTAGGTCATCAGAACACCGGCTTTGGCGATGATCAGAGTGTTCCTCGCACAATGGTCGGAGGATGGCAAGCCATTCAGAACGAACGACGCCTTCCCTCACCCATTTCCGAAGGTGATGATTCTATGGTTTGCCAACCCATCACCCCCACGGGCATGCAGTTTGATGCCAGTGCCCACGGTTTTGTCACCCCCGGTATGGAACACCCCAATGTGACTGTTGAGCCTTCACCCCCCAATGATGTGGAACATCCTATGATGGATGTGGAATCCCACTGCTCGGGTAATTCGGTCGACGGTGATGGTGATCCCACAACTCCTTCTCCCAGGAGAGGCCATATTCGCAGCCGACACACCGTCAACAACTGGACATTGCAGCCCGGCATGAAGAAGAGCTTCAGCATAGGATACCGAGCAGACTGCGAAAAGTGCCGCTTAAAGGTTCCAGGACACTTTAATCACATCATTGTTTCTTAGGGAAAGGAGAAGATTATACTAGATCCTGTCAAACAACCTTCACTATAGGAGAGCGGTGTGAGGCCGCTTGATTGGAGAAAGAAACGACAGAAGCGAAAACTTGCTCTTGGTGATATCGTTTCGGGGGAATTGGTTCCATCGGCGAGAGGGAAAATCGGTTCTACCGGCGAAAGGGAGAATAGCAGTCTTAGGCCTTTTGCAACATTAGAGGAGATGCAAACGCCTTGATAGCTCGCTCAGACTATCACAGACGGCCATAGTTCAGGCATGGCCGGACTTTGAGGAGATGAACTGGAATCTGCCAGTTCAAGACGATCTTTTATTTTTTCCTTCCTTTTCAATTTTTTGTTTTGTTTCCTTGGCGTTATAGGCAATGGCAAGCGGGCGGGTATGGATAGCATTTGGTCATAACGGGTATACAGAGCACCCTGGAAATAGGGAATCGGAAGTTAGCGATACGATCTTGAGATCGTCAGGTATGCATGACAATACCAGAATAGCGATAATGTCAATTTGAGTAATGGGGACATCACCTTCTTACCCATCTTGAGGAACCCAGTCAGTGACGCTTATTTGATCGCTTGGTATTGAATAGATATGGTAAGTAGACTTGTTCCCTGATGGTACATACAAGATGGTCCCCCGACGCCGTCTAATGCACTGCCAATCTACACATATGATACACTCCTTTTGGTCCCGCCACGTACACTCCGCTTTGTTTTCCCTCATGTTGCCATCCGTTCTTCTTTCCAATTATATTTTTATACACATCACCAGAACTTCCACCAAGACTTGTTGGATGCTGAGCCACCTGTAGGGTCAACACCCAGCCTGTCCAAGGGGCCTCCATTTTGTTGACTCTCCCGCTCTGCTGCCATCGCCTCCTCCAGCCTCACCTTGACAGTACCAGACTCGACTGACTGTGTCTGATAATCCTGGCGGCCCTGTGTTGACTCCTCCTTCTTCGATCCGCCGCCTAGCACACCAGAGAAAACCCCTAGTATACCCTTCCCACTTGATGGCTTTGTAACAGTCTCCTCTGCGTTTTCTTCAAATGTGGGCTTGATGTGTTCTTCGAAATGTGTGCGGTGTGAAGGTGCCTCGAGCAAAGGTGGTAGCTTCTCGCCTCTTGCCTCGGCAGCTTGGTTGGCTTCCTCGACGAGAAGGATCTGGTCCTCTGTAGCCTCGCCCTTGATGTAGGCGAGACGTGCCATAGCAAGCTCGTCGGCTTCAAGTAGCTTTTGGGCCTCGACCCATTCGGCTCGGCGGGCTCGGTTGTAACGAACCATATCCCAGACAGAGTATCCGGAGACAACAGCTGCAACAACTGGAGTGCTTGTCAGCTGGCGAATTCAGTCGAATATCTCGGTCAGTCGTTCGTACCTGTAAACACCACAATGCTTCCCACCGTCCAACGATGCGCTACATCGAAAATTCTCCTCGAGGCATCGATAAACTTATCAGTCTTGCTAATACTCGCATGCTGGGCAGCAAGATGAGCCTGCCGCAGTCTCCTCACTCGCTGCTCGGGTGTTTCGCCTGGGATGCGTGGTGTTCTCTGAGCGGCTTTCGATGTTGCGTGGGGGATTGTGGACGTAAATCGGGTTGCGTCCTTTACGCTCCGTGGGCCCATCCTGGAAGCCATTGTCTCTGTATGAGGAAGAATTTATTCCACGGAGAATAATTACCAGGGCGAAGTGATCGAATGGATTGGCCGTTGACGGGACGGGATGGATGGAAAGTGGTGTCATGAGATTTTTCGAACTGCTGCGAGAAGGAATTGTGGGAATGTGATTGGTGCGGAGTAGCTTCGGGTGAGAGGATGGTGGGCTGTGAAGATGGAGATATTGGAGGATGATGTCGACTACCTGAGAACTCGGATCCCAAGCGCCAAAAAGACTTGGGTAAATTTAGCACAAGCCGTGGAGGCCCTTTGACGACTTCATTTTGGCATTTGATGCCGACAGCGAAGTTTTGTGCTACTGTAGAATGGACATATTTAGATGAATTCGAAGCCATCGAGATGCTCGTCAATCGATCTGGCATTTACAGTCACCACAGCAGTACGTACGCCGTACGTTAAGCAAACCTCGAGAAACAGGAAATGTGCGATATCGCTTTTACCAAGTAATCACATCCACGGAATGCCCGTGCAGTAACCAAGCGACATGAGTCGACGAGTATCAGGTTATCAGCATTTCAGTTCACAGGCTACAGCAAATCGAAGTGGGAGTGCGAGGCCCGATGAGAACTGTGTTGACGCTTCGACGACGGAATTGGATCGTGGGCTATGACATTCACCAAGTGAGTTGAGCGACAATACAATACACCTGTCTCAGTCATCACCAACAGCACAGCAGGATTACAGTCGTAAGGGAGCTACGTTCAAGTCAGACATCACGACAATCACAGAAGACTCTTCTTCATGCGACAGCATCAAGCCATCAGCACAATGAAAAGTGGTTTTAAATCAAAAATTCCGCCGACTATGGCCCCGAAGGACAATAGAGCAAAGAGTGACTCCGCGATGTGCAATGCAGGCCCTCCATGCTGAGGAAGCCAATTCTTGAGCTGGCCTCCTCTCAACAAGGTAAGTATGAAGAAGAAAAGAAAAACGAAACAAGAGGAGGGAGGGAGACCGGCCTTTTATAGGGAAATGGAGAAGGGATGGATGCCTTGATGCTGAGGCGTAACCTTTGGTGCCTGAGAAATTGCAGGCAGCAGGGCAGGGGCCACTTTTGTGGATGCTTGAAATTGTGCAACTGCCCGGCACCTGTCAGCCTGTGTGCACCTGCCAAACGAAAATTAAGTTGAGATTTTATAAGATTATTTTCTGAGTGCATGTGTTCCTGCCAATTGGTGATTGTGGAGTGCGTTGACCACAGAGAAAGTTACATCTAGATGCAGCGACTAGCGCCAGTGTCAAAGAAATGCATGACCAGTCATGATTTGACAAAGACCTCGCTGATCGTGAGACTTCGAGCAGTATCTACATATTATCCTCTTACGCCAGAAAGCCTCAAGGCCATTAGTTCCGTTTGATCTTAAAAATAAAGAACTTTGGCTTTTCTCGGGTCATTTATGTCTCCTGTGTACAAGATGATGATGGCTGGTATCAGGAAACACTTCTCATGATGTGAAGACTACGAATCACAACCTAGCAGTGAAACATTTCATGTTAATGAGCCTGAAGAGATTCAATGTAACGAGCTCGGAGATCTTAAGAGTACATAGAGTGGTTCAAGTTTGAGTGAACAAACACTCTTCTATTAAGGAAATCCCTTACAAGAACAGATACCGTGCTTGGGTTCATGCTCATGAATTGCCATAACAACATACAAAGCCTTCTGTGGCTTCTGCAGCTCATCAACAGCAACCCTACCATTCTGAATCACTTACACCAATTCCCTCCAAGCTCGCCTAACTCTCGGCGGCACCGCTGCAACAATCTCCCGATCATACAGTTTTTGGACCTGGAAGCCCCACCTGGCACGTGATCCAGATCTTCGGACTCCACCCCACTAAATGGAATCGACCACAGGGCAAAACCCTTCTTGGAGTAGGAAATTGGACAAGCCTCTACCCTCCGAATTTTACACGCCTCACGACCGACATCGACCATCGGAGCACGTTGATCGCAAGCAGACACAATGGTATGGAGATACGCCCAATGCGATGGATAATGTTCATTGCGCTCGAGTGCATTCGCATTTGCTGACCTGATTTACTACAGGCGATCAAGCACAACCAGAAGCTCGTCAACAACCGTGAGCCGCACCACCCCCGAATAACGATATGATAGAGGATTTGAGGGACTGACTCCTTCAACAGACTTCCGCAAGGATTGGCAGCGCCGGGTTCGAACCCACTTCGACCAGGTATGACGATGCACCCGACGAGAAGAGAAGAGAGGAAACGATTCATCTCGATTTTCTGGAAATTCCACTTGGCACACAAATATTGACTATGGAATAGCCCGGCAAGAAGTCGCGGAGACGCACAGCTCGTCAGGCCAAGGCTGCTGCCCTCGCTCCTCGACCTGTCGACAAGCTCCGACCTGTTGTGCGATGCCCTACCCTTAAGTACAACCGCCGTGTCCGCTCCGGCCGTGGTTTCACCCTGGCTGAGCTCAAGGTATGATATTCTGCGTCTCGGTCGAATGCACACGATACGAGATGCGCCAGAAAACATTCCAGTGCTAACAACCACGCAGGAGGCCGGTATCCCCAAGGCTTTCGCTCCCACCATCGGTATCGCTGTCGATTTCCGCCGACAGAACCTCAGCGAGGAGTCCCTTGCTGCCAACGTCGCCCGCCTCAAGGCCTACCAGGAGCGCTTGATCCTCCTCCCCCGTCGATCCAACGCCCCCAAGAAGGGTGACACCAAGACCGACGTCTCCAAGATCGAGAAGGCCTCCCTCATCTCGGCTACTCTCCCCATTGCCCCCACCGACATCGCTTTCAAGGAGATCAAGAAGGGTGACATGCCTTCCAACATCGAGGCCGGTGCTTACCGAACTCTCCGTGTCGCTCGTGCCAACGCCCGATACGAGGGTGCCCGACAGAAGCGTGTGCGGGATGCCGCCGAGGCTGAGTCGGCTAAGAAATAAACTTGCAAAAAGGGAACTGGTGTTTGAGGGTTTTGCTCTTTGCGTCTCTGAGACATGGGCAACGTCGGTTCGAGGCTCTGATGAAAGGCTTGGCCGGGTATGGAGGAAAGATACTCTAGGTCCAGCTCAAGAAATTTACTGCATGATCACCGGCTTTGCTCTATCATTACTTGGTCAATGGATGCATTACGTGCATATGGTATCTCTTTTTTAAAAAGTTATTCGTTATGATTTCAATGCTTTGAACCATTCGTCAAGTGATGTCTATGTTCCTCGTATCTGTGTCTATTCTATGCTTTGGGACTCTGCTATTCTTCAGCCTTCTTCCCCAGCAACTCTGTACCCTGTTGAATTAAACTGCGTAAACGACCAACTTGCTCTGGCTCCAGAGTATGCCCATTCTTGGCAACTTCGGTGCACAGTACCAGGCAGTTCTCTCTGTCAACCTTGGCCATATTGGCCTTTTGTTTCGGGTCAACCTGCTGAGGTTCCAATGCCAGCTCTTCGGGAATTGCCAGGGGGGGTTCGGGGGCACCACCCTCGATCTGTAGTGTTTCGTTGTTTGCCGTCTTTCCGGTGACTGCATAGCTGACAGCATCCATAGCTCCAGATATTGCAAGGACTTGGACGATGACTTGGGCACCATCCTTTGATCGTGACATGAGAGCAAAGACGAACCAAGCCTCGGATTTTAGAATAGGCCACTTCTCTTGAGTGACAAGGAATGACAGCACTTGTGAAAGATCATGCTCAGCATAGAACAGATCCCTCGATGGTGCCTTTTCAGTTTCAGAACTCCATCCAGAAAGAACCTCCTCGGTGGGCGCTGTATGAAGAACTCTGCATATAGTAGCAATACTTCGTGCAGCTTCGAGTCGAGTAGGCTCCGTATCTGATCGATCAAACAGCGAGATCATATCATGGATAGTTGTGCGTTTGTCAGACCCCTCTCCTTCGGCTGTTCTGGGAGTGACAACTCGACGAACATTATCTGGGCAGTTCACAAGCAGTAAGCGAAGTAGTGAAACTGCCGAGAACTGGACCTGAGGAAGAGTATCGATGGTCAATATCCTTGGCACACTCACTGGCTCTAGCAGATCCCCTAGGGATGTTTTGTTCTGTGCTGGAATTGCGAGATTCTTGAGGAAGGACAGTGCGGAGTGAAGAAGCTGGGCATCTTTGATCTCTGGGTCGGAAAGAATTGCGATCAGAGGAAGATGAGCCTGATACTTCTGCACAAAGGCCGTGGAAGCCTGATCTGAACGGGAGAGGTTACCGAGGGCCAGACAAGCTGCGGACTGGAGGATGACATGCGGCTCCTTCAACCATTTGAGAAGCGACTGTGGCACTGAGCTTTCGAGGGTATAGTGAGCTGGGAAGGCGTCATTGCCAGTCAGATCAGCTAGAGTTGTAAGCAATGAGGTACACAGCTGCCCTAATTCCTTGGCAGTGTCTTCGTCATCAAGCTCTGAGTCAAATTGAGTATGGGCGATGTAGAATGCCTTGACAAAGACATCTACTTCTTTTGAGTTGAGGAGTCGCTCTTGGAAGGATTCATTAGCAAGATAACTGGCCGCGGTAGATACGAGAGCGAGAAAGTCCTCGATATCAGTGCTGTGGTCAGGGCTGACAGCCAGCTTGAGGAGAACAGAGGCCGTCTCAGAATCTGCAACAGCTGCCTCGCCATCTTGTGTGATGAGAAGAGCAAGGATCTTGCAAAAATAAGTGACGAGAGGGCTGAAAGCAGCACGGTTGGGTGACTGAAGGAGAGTGATGAGATGACTGCTGAGTCGTGACTCTGAAGCAAGACGTTGAGCAGGTTCTACAAGTTTCAGTGTTGTGCCGCTCGAACGTTGTCTTCAAGACTCACCATAATCAACAAGGACATTGTAGAGTACCGGAATCAAGTACGGAACAAGACTAAGGTCCTGAAGGTGCTTGATAAAAGAAACGATATATTTGCCCTCAACAACCCGAGCTCGGTTTTGGTCTGTATCGGCACAAGAATTTCCGGTAACACGTAGAGCCTGGACTTTGACACCATGAGGCTGCTCCTCATCTGAGGCAAGAATGTCAAGGAAGAACTCGAGAATTCCGGAATCTCCATAGGGGAGTCTCCAAGCCACTGTGCCCGTGTTAACGGATTCACAGATTGGGTTTGATTTCACACTTACCATCTCGACTTCCGTCGCCTAACGCCTTGGCTGTAGCCTCTAGCGAAGAAGGATCTTGTTGCTCAAGAGTTTCGAGCACGGAAGATAATAGCTTTGTTCGTTTTAGAACAGCATCCTCAGGTTCGCTGGCGGCATCGTAAGTTTCTGGTGATGCTCCGCTCCCTTCACGCTGTATAAGGACAGCCACGTCTTGAGGTGACATAGACATGATCTCAGCTTCTCTTGTGGAGTATGAGATATAATGCTGAAGTTGGACGGATGTTGAATTAGTTACACCAGTCCACTTGAGATACCCTATACAATTATGTTGAAGAGGTGCTTACAAAATGAATAAAAGTTTCTAAAGCTTCACATTGATGTAAGAAATGAGGAAACAAATTTCTTGACAATTAAAATTCAACACAAAGTTTCAGGATCAGTTCATGAAATTTAGTACATTCACGCATCTCATTACGGTCAGCTAACATTCTCTTCTGTAGCTCCATCGCGGGGCATTTGTCTCGGTGAAGCTCGGTGAATCGCGGTGGATGCATCGCACGGCTAAACCACGGCAGATCATGTTGCAGCTGCCGGTTGATCGGAGGTGCAAAATTCCGACCTCGGAATGATTCGCCTCCGCCGACTTTGCACCCGGGGAAAAAGTCTCTAGCAGCGCCATCACGATCCTTTCCCTCGTCGCGAACGAGGGCCGCTATTTCAACGTCGCTTCTCAGCGATATCTCCACCTTTTCTCCCGATAATCAATTCGTCTACATCATCCATAATTCTTCAAAATGGTACGCGCCCTCGTCTTGGATCATGCCCGCCATGTTCTTTACTTCAAGAATCGCCGCATTGGTTGGAGTGGCGGCTAACACATAACCCCAGGCGCACAAATTCGTGGTCACAGCCTTCCTAACAGGTTCCCGAATCCTCGGTCGATCATTCGTCGCAGCTTATAAGCAGGCTCAGGCCGCCTCAGCGTACCAGCGAGCGCAAGCCAAGGCCGGCAACACATCCGCTGGTGCCTCTCTCTCCTCTGGCATGACTCTCGATGAGGCATGCAAGATTCTCAACGTCAAGCCCCCGGCTGGTGGACAAGCCAATGTTGAGGAGGTTCTCTCACGTTATAAACGACTGTTTGACGCCAACGATCCTCAAAAGGGTGGCAGTTTCTATCTCCAGAGCAAGATCGTAAGAGCAAAGGAGCGATTCGAGCGAGAGATCGGTCCTATACGGGAGAAGATGGAGCAGGAGGCTGAAATCAAAGAGGGGTTCAAGCCCAAGGTCTACAAGGACTGACGACTCTCCTTGTCCTTGAGCAAATAAAAACGAAAAGCGACACTTGTACGATGACCTCGTAAAGGAGTTCTGAGGGACGGGAGGGAGGAGTTTACTTTCTCCATGTATACAATGTACATCTTCACTCGACTGCGGCATGGCACGGCGTTCATTGGGTTATCGGTAGCGTGATGAGCCGCTCGAGGTTGGTTGGTTCTTAGACGAAAGAAAAAAGAGACAGACGACCTATGCTATCTTATGTTTAATACAACTGTACGATATCAACGGAGTACTCTTGGGTTGGATGTGAGTAGAGCTGGCGTGAGTTGAGGGCGTATATTTCGGCAACAAATGTCTCGTCAAGGACAATGTAGTGTGTCTTGGGACGACATTGTAGTACCCCTGTGACAAACACACCTCACTGGGTACTGATATATTATAGCCACCAAGCTATTCACACTGCCGGATTCTTCTAGGCTCATGATTCCTCTCTAGGTTTTATACGTGATGCAATAACAGTCTAAATCATGAAAAGGAGCAATTGTATTGGAAGATCAAACCACAAACCTTCCTACAAGATGCAACACGCTGATGGAATCATACAGATGTAACCGAAACTATGTTCCCTTCCGTTCCATCCATAGCGCAATATTAAGATTAAACCCAGCCATAATGTTCGGTTGGCACAGGCTCTCCTGTTGTCCTCCATTCTCGAGGCGACTGAGGTTCCTCCTGTGTACGACGGGATCTGTGTATGGAGAGTGGCCTGGGTATTTCGATCGACCTTGGATATCCGCTGTCCTGGCTGTAGACACTCGAGCTACTCCGATCTTGAGCTGGGTCAGGAGTTGGGACTTGAATCGAGGGAGCCCGGACTTGACGTCGTGGGATAGCGGGACGAGTAGGTGGGATGTTTGAATGTACTACAGAAACGGGAGCTTGAACTGGTTGCTCAGGAATAGGAGGAGGAGGAGGGGGAGGGGGAGGAACCGGACGAGGCCCAGGTTCATCACCATCAGAAGTCGGATCTTCAGGCTCGTTTGGCGGAGGAAATGGAAACTGGTGCCTTCTGAACCAGTCCCTCACCGAGGCCACCAGATTTCTGGCCTGTCTCCCATCGGCCTCTGAGCCTGAATCGTCGAAGGCGCTGCCACCAGCTTCACCCATTGGCCCCTCAGGGCCCTCATAAAACTGAATCTGCTGGCGGTGTCGAAAGCATTTCCAGGTGATTAGACCTGTGAATAGGATGAAAAATAGAACCGCCATTACGATGCCGGCTGTTTGAAGGCCAGCAGAGCGGTTTTTCTTTGGTGACGTTGGAGTGTCAGTCTCTTCTGGGTCTAATGTTGCTGAAGTCTCAGTTAACCCCATTGATGTTGCTGTACTCTTACTTAGATCTATAGTAGTGGATGCTGTCGTGGTGGTGGTCTCAGTCTCGGTATGCGTTGTTGTTTTCGTGAACCAAGCCAAGGTAGTGCCGTCGTCGGGGCCTGGAAGAGTTGACCATCCAACGCGAGGCTTCGTCTGTGTTATTTTGATACTTGTGATGCTTAGTGTCTCCTTGGGATGTTTGAGCGCCGCGATCGAACTGGTAATGCCGTTTTCTGGCTGTTTAGAGCCATCGTCATCGCGACCTGGCTGTTGAGGATCATTGCTTCCAAATGTAGCGCCATCATCGGGGCCTGGAGGGGTTAGCCATCCGACATGCGGTTTCGTCTGCGTTGTTCTGCTACTCGTGATGGTTGGTGTCTCCTTGGGCAGACTGAGCACCGTGGTCGGGCTGGTTGTGTCCTTGTCTGGCTGCTTAAGGTCATAGTCATCGCGACCTGGCTGTCTAGGGCCATAGTTACTGCGGCATACGTCGCAGATACTTTTGTAGGTTGCATCGTTGTCTTCATCATACCTGAAGCCGTCGGCGTCGTTATTAGGGAGAGGGTACTTGCGACAAGGGCCACTATACGGAGAGAATATATCAGTATAGTCTTGAGAGATGAAGTATATATGACTTACCAACCTGACAGCAACCAGTTGCGGTCTATCGTCGCGTCTGCGACTTCATTTTGGTACTTCAGGGCAGCTACAGGTATCCCCATAACTGCTAGGAGAGAAAGTTTGGGAAGCAACATCTTGAAAAGTGTTTAAAATAACCAAACGCCTTGAGATGCTGGAAGTTGGGCGTAGTCAAGTCGAGTCTTCGATGGCCGTAGCAAATACAACGGTCTAGGGACGCAGAGACCAGAAAGGGCAGAACGGATGAGATGAGGGCAACGTTGAGATGTTTTGCGTGTCATGTTCCATTTTATGTCTTGTACTTCTAGGCTTCCATACCTTATATGCATCCACAATAGAGTTTTGTGCGTGAATCTTCTCATGGTTGCCAACGAAACTCTACGACAGTTGTTTGCTGCAGACTCTATCTAGCGTTTGTCACAGTGTCACATGCCATTCATTCAGACACAATGTCAAGGTTTTGCAAAGGGATCAGTTAAAGTCTGAGGTATATGCGGAGATTTAACGAGAGCCTCTCATAAGTGAAGAGAAATCAAGCTTTGAGAAATACTTTCTTATATCAAACGTTGCTATTCTGCACGTTCCTTGCCCTTCCACTGAGGATCTTGGACGAAATCTGTATTGCGTCCGTCAGGCTGTCTCGAACTACAAGGTTCGAATTTATAGTGTTTGAAGCCCTTATTTCGACCATATTCATCGATCTCGAAAGACATGTTGCGTGCATCGGTAGTCAGAAGTGTGTTTTCCTTGGTAGAGCGATAGGGTGCTAATATAGGTTTGAGTTCTTGACCGTATGGCGAGTTTGATGGAGCTGGGTTTGATCGTGAAGCTTCCACGCCCCGGGGTACACGAGTGCTTGCACTGGTGCGTTTTCGGTTTCGGCGACGTCGTAACCAAAGATAGATTATCAAACATATTGTGGCGAGCATCAAGAACACACCGACTGCGATAGGCGCTACCTTAGCCGCTGTTAAAGAGTCGTTTGAAGAAGAAACGTCTGCAGTAGCTGTTGGTAGATTAGGTTCCTCTTGATCAGTGGTATACGATGTAGTCAAGACTGAGCTCGGCGGTATCTTGTCACTTATAGTAACGGTACTCCAAAGTGATGGATCAGTGCTCGCATCGACGCTGGGAGGAGATAAAGGACTGGGGTCTATGGCTGGTCGAATTGCTTGTACGGAACTTGTCGAAGGGTCTTTGACAGCTGTTATTGTGATATGGGTAGTGATCTTCGAAGTGACTTTGGGCAACGGATCGACGGGACCTAGGTGCTCTGTTTCGAATATAGTGGCAAATGAAGTTAGAGTTGTCATCGAGGTAAGGGTTATCGTGTGTCTTGAGGTAAAGGTAACCGGTTCTTGAACTTTCTTGCGTGGGATTGTAACAATCTTCGCATAAGTGGAATACGGTTCTTGGTTGGATTTCATGTCGCTATAAGTATGACCCAACGAATCGATGAAGATACGTGGTTCATTAAGGAAATGAGATGTGATTTGTTGTTCGAATTCTTTGTTTTGGGTCGTTTCCGGTTCAGGAGACCGACTTTGAGCCTCGTCGCTATCATAATGTCAGGGGTTGAGCGAATCCAGAGTCTGAGTTGTACTTACATGCGCTCAGAATCAGGAAAGAGAATAGCCATCTTGAGCAGTCATTTAAAATCCTGTGGGAAAAAAAAGCACTGCTTGTCATATCTACCGTTTGTCGAGATCGCTCTCGAGAGAACGGCTCTAAGGGCCATGTATATAGTCACCATGCTGGGCTGATTCAAAGGTAAGTCGGTGTCTAGATCATAGGTATAGTCACTTACTATGAGTTGTTGGGTGATGGGATTTATATAATAGTGAATAGACTTATCACGAGTGATCGATTCAGAGAAGGATAATGCTATTTGTGTAACTAATGAGTGCTATCATGAGGCCCTGCATCTGTGCCAACCAGAATCATCCACGCGTCGTGCAATCATTTATGACTTCAAAATTGCTGGAGCTGGCTCTACAGGTTGCACAGGCTCCGTGTAAGCATGCCCAAAGGGACCATTGTCAAGCTGGAAGTTGAAATTGTTCTGATTGTGCCTGGAACGCGAACCGCGCCCTAAAAGCACAACGACAATGACGGATAGGACAAGGAAAAATACAGCCATAATTAATATAAAGGTCCATGCACCTGCAGATAGAGAGCTGTTGGAAGATTCAGCAGTTGGAATTGTCGAACTCTCTGAAGTTGACGAACTTGAAGATAACTCCTTGCTCAAGGCTGTAGGAGTTGCATCTGGCAGCGTCAAATGACTGATGATGCTGAGTATATCGTTATTGCTGCTCGTGGCCCCCGTAGGACGCAAGACAAGAGTGACAGTCTCCTGCTTATGCCTTGTATACCAAGTGAAAGGTTCCCAGGTCTCGGTACCTATGACTATCACGCCATCTTTGATGGAAGTGCTATCAACCTTGTCGATGACTGTTACATCCTCTCTATCGTTTCCTGGGAGGTCCTCTGATGCAAATGTAAAAACTGGCTCGAAGCCAGGTGGAATTGTGCTGTAGACGTTTCCAGTCAAGTCCACAAGTTCGCGAGGGTCATTATGGTGATTTTTGGACGAAGGCTCGGTCCCATGAGAGGTGGAGATCTCCTGGTTCTCCATGATCTAATAGACTTTTATGTTGATGATATAAGTGAAACAAGTCAGGCCTTTTACTTGGACGATTGAGGTGTTGGGCAAATGCTGGTGGAGGCTTGAGAATAAATCGAATACAGGGGGAGGGGCCTTGGAGGACTATATATAAGTGGCAGTTTGAGCTGATTCAAGGTATTCCAATCTGTTGTTGAAAATGCATTACAGTCATTGTGAGTTATTGTACGAGGCTAGATAGATCAGATGTGATCAGGCAGCGTAATGCATCGATTCAGAAAAGGCAGTGATATTTTGTGCGACTTGAAAACTATGGAAAGGCACTGCACCCATGCTCGATCATATACTTGTTAATCAATGCCGGATTGAGTCGTTGAGTTCTTCAAGCTTTCCACGTGTTTTCCGCCACCGCTTGTTGTGGCTGTATCTCGGCATGGTTATGGCAGACAGTGACAGACACATTAGATGACGGCCCATACTGCGGTCCATTATGCAGTTCAGGTCGCGGCTCATATCGCGGTTGATGTCGTGGTTCAGGTTGCAGTTCATGTTGCAGTTCATGTTGCTCTCTATGCTGCGATTTTGGTCCTTTTACGAACCATCGTGCCAAATAAAACACGAATATCGCGACCAAAAGGGCAAAAACACCTGCAAAAACCCCTCTTATAATTCTTGTGGCATCTGATGGAGCTGGCGTTCCAGATACAGGCGGGGATGAAGACGGTAGTAGAAGCTCTGTGCTTGAATCGGTTGTGTATGATGTAGTCCAAGAGCTTGCCTCACCGTAAGAGGATGAGGCGAGCAATGTTGTCTCGGTGCTCAAGCTGAGCACCTCAGTAGAAGTATGCTCTGACTCCTGACTGGAACTCATCACGTCAGATGTGCTGCTTGGGGGGATGAACTTAGTTCCATCAGTAATGGTGATTATCTCTATCTCGGTGCCTGGGGTGAGCCTTGGCGGACTGCTCGTCGTTATGGATTGTTCTGACCGAGTGACTGTGGTAAACCTCTCAATGATCGTCAGGTCGGCTGGAAGTTCCGAGATGCCTTGATCAGGGCGCTGTGTCCATGGTATGGTAAGTACTGGCTTGAAATCCGGAGGAATTGTACCGAAAGTATGACCAGTCAGGTCTTTTAAATCACGAGGCTCGTATCCCTGGCGGGTCGGTGAAGCTTCATTTCTTGATAGTGTGTCCCCTCTTTTGTCCGTGTTGAGGTTGGCAGATTGCAATTCGGGCTCATCAATGCTGTCACGGGAATGAGTGAAAGTCCGGTGCATTAGCCTAGATTTCTCGTAAACTTACATGAGGTCCGGGTCCATGAATAGGAAGCACATTGTATGATTGGAAAAATGTATTTGTGTCTGCCCGCGAAGGATGATACTAGCGAGGGAACGAGCAGTCAAGAATGTCACGTCGCAGAGCAGTCCTCCTAGAGGATTAAATAGATTTCAACACGGTAGGGTTGGGGGAGGAATCAACATTGACTAGCTGCAGTATCATCTGTGGTTAGATGCTAAACCTGGCACGGTTGTGAGTAACAGAAGAAGAGGTCTATACACTCAGAGCATAAACCCCAGCTCTAGTTGATTAAGTCGGCACCAAAGGAAACCCAAGGATCATTCAGCCAGGAAGGACAAGTCAAAGATAAAGATGATCTGGAAAGTGCTTCGTTGCTGAGGTGCATCAAGCGCTGAGGATGACAGCATCTCTCAGATAGATAAGAGCTGACGGCATGAATAGATAATCCAGGTACTTCTCGCGCCCGTGATTCATATCCCTGGATTGACACGCAATCTACGAGATATTCTGTCGCGCCCGCGGTGTGCATTTGATGCTCCCCCAGCCCACTCCCCTAGCCACCACCTTACCAAGGAGTCCAACTATGCTGCCAAGGGCTTCAGGACCGTCCTTTAACCTCTGACAGTAGAAATGTACCTAATGTGAAGGTAATATAGAAGAATATTGGACCCGTCTGCGAGAGATTCTACCATCGCAAAGCCAAGACAGTTATCTTAGATGTTGGTCTCATGGATTTGGGTCACTATCTACACTTCCATAGACGTGAAACAATTTTCAGCAAGACAGATTTGTGACTCGAGCCTCGATTATTGACGAATCAAAGATGGCATGATCTAATTGGTAATTTAGGATGATTTCCATAACTAGCATTGCCTAATGCATATCTGCCTACTTCCAGCGCTTCGATACCACATACGTATTCTCACATCTTCCTCCTGACCAGGCCCTTCCAGTAATCAAAGCTATTCTCATCACTTTGCAATGCCCAGATCTTCCCTGTCGACCTCCCGGTAGCATCTGTCTCTTCAACCTTCAGCATTCCCCAATCCCGCGTAATTCCCACCACGCGAGCCTTGACACCACCTTCTGCCTCGAGAGTGACATCTTGTCTTGTGTGTAACCAGTGGCGGTAGTAACGGGCTTCAAGGTCAGCTGAGAACCCTTCTCGAAGGAATTGAGCATAAATGGCCTCGATGCGTGTGAGGACGCGTGCTAGGAGGGTTTCGAGATGAAGTTCTGGTGCCCCTGATGGAACGAGGTCGGATATGGAGATTGTGGGACGGGGGTTGATGGTATTGAGGCCTACGCCGAGGATGATTTGGTAGTTGCCATCGAAACAGAGACACTGCGAGAGAATACCACCGACTTTCACATAATGCGGTTTCTCTTGTGACTTTGTGGGATCAAGGGCATCTATCGATGTTAGTCTTGATCTTGCAAGGGAGCTGAATTGACTTACAAATGTCATTAGGCCACTTTAACTTGATGGGAATGTTCTCGTAACCACGATCATAAGACTGCACCGCCTCAACCATGGCAATAGCCGTGATGTACTGAATAAATACTACCGGACGAGTCACAGCGAGATGGGCTGGATGGTTGATTACAGTCGAGAAGATGAGCATTCCAGGAGGAGCAATCCAGACGTTGGAGCCACGACCACGACCAGCAACTTGGGTGGTAGCTGAGACTGTGAAGCCGCTTGGGAGTTTCGGCATGAGCTTGGGGTTCCTGGTGCGTGTTAGCCTTGTACGTCTCCTACTTGGGAGGGGAACATACTTCTCAAGCATGGTATTTGTACTTGTGACAACTTCGCCGTACATGAGCAAGTCACCCCATGCCCGCGCAGTTGGCTCAATTTGTCGATAACGCTTCAGGCTTGAAAAGAACAGACCATGGTTGAAATGTGGTGTAAGCTTGGGATGGGGAAGACCCTTCTCGTGAGGAAAGATCTTCTTGATGATCTTACTGTAGTCAATGCTGCCATTCTCAGAGATGTTGGTATCCATTGTCTCTGTCAGAGATTGCTGAAGCCCTTCAAGGCTCCAGATTGTGTCTTCATTCTGGATGTGAAAGGTGTCTGTTTCCGCTCGGATCCATTCTTCGCCGTTCTCCTTGTTGATGATGTCGCTCCAGTCAGTTAATAGCTCCGATACGCCTGTGTCGGTGATGGAAGAGAGGTGAAGATGGGAGAGTGACGGGACACCTGTGTCGTGAGGGCTGACCTCAAGACCGAGTTTTGTGAGACATGCCTTGAGAAAAGCAGCTCGGTCCTTGTCGGCGTCTGCTAATTTGGTGACCAGGTCATCATACCCAGGAACGCTTGGCTGAGGATTCAAGTTGGCCGCAGCGAACCTAAACCGTATCAGTCAGTACATAACATGTATACAGTGAACAGATTGAAACGTACTCGGGGTGAGGGCCAGTAAGCAAGGCTTTACCATCTCCGACTGTGCAAAGAACAACTGCTGCCTTTCCATCGCCACCATCGACATCAAGCTCCTCATCGTAAGTAGCGAGAACCTCGACCTTTCTGTCCTTAACCGAAGCAGCATCAACAAAGACACCTCCTCCATTATAGTAAGAGATGATTTCAGACGCAGCCTCCTGTTCAAAGGCACCCTTGGGTACCGTCAAACGCACAGCCCTCGCTCCCTTTTCACTCCGATACTCAAAGCCTTTGAACGCACCACCTCGACAGGTCCCTGGGAAGAACCCTAGCTCTCTTCGTCCAACAACCTCCATGGGCTTGTTTCCCAACTCAAACTCACACTTTTGTGTCCCGTAGTAGCCGCCAGCACAGAAGCCTAGGTAAGAGCCTCCTCGGCGAACATAGTCGCCGATACGACGATTTCCCTCACCATTCAGTGCCTGGCAGTAGCCGAGATCGCCACCGCCTGGAAAGACGAGGAGTGCGCATGTTGCTTGCCATGGTTCTTTGAGAGCGATGTTCTCGGTGATGGGGATGACGGCGTAGTTGGGGCCGAGAAGACGGCGGAGGGACCAGATACAATGCCGCACTGACTCAACTGTGGTGCCAATGCCTTGGTAGTGAATCAGTGAGTGTAACGGCCTGTGAAAGGAATTGATGGACCAAACCTGTGTAAACAAGAACGTTGAGCTTTGCCGGTGCCATTGTTCGTATTTGGCTGATCCTAGTGATATTGTAGTTGTTCGTGTAGTCTTTGTCACTTGACTTTTGTTGGATCTCGCCTCAGCCAAATCTCCGCCTCGAACCACCTTTTAACCTCTTTCAACGATAACACGTAAGACTCAATCACCACAAATTTGGACAAGAGAACAGTCGAAATTATGACAAAAGAAGAGAGTAACGCTCAGCAGAGCACGGAAGAAGACGACGATGAGCCCGATGAATGGTGAGTGAGCGCTCTTTTCCGTTGAGACACCGAAAGCCGAGGCCTTTGCTAACCGCTGATGAAGGGACAAGCGGATCTTCAGCACTGGATGCGCGGGTGAGTCTCTACTTTCATACAAAATTCAATTGCAAAATACAAAGGAAGATATAAGAAACTTATGAGGTTCTATAAGTCTACGCCTCGACTACCCACTCATCAATCGTTTTGTTGAGAAAAGGGCTTGCTAACAGACACCACCAACTCAGATGAGAACGCAAAAATGACAGACTGCTACTTTGAAAAGAAGGATTGGCGCGCATGTGCTGCAGAAGTGAGTATCAAAGCCTAATCCATTTCAGTTCTATTTATTTTATATATTTCGAGATGTCTTATCTCTTTGCTGCTCTTTATGTTGTCATAGACCTGAACTGACAGTATCATAGATGGAGCAATTCAAACAGTGTTGGAAGGCTCATAACAACGACCAACGTACAGAGACCAAGGACAACTAAACTCGCATTGAGGGATATGTACTGTACTATTACTGTATAAAATGTATACTAGCAAGATCAGGCTCTCCTTTCCGGGCGTTATGTTAACGATGACTCCCAAATGCGTTCACTCAATCAAGGCATCATAATATGACATACACAGTGTTGGCACTGTCTCCACCGGACAATCAATCCACCCGCCCTTGGAAATTATCACCATAGGTTCATCAAGCTTGAAGCTCACCATATCCAACTCCCCATACCAACCCACAATGTTCGTCCCTCGCCGCGCCCTCTTCGCTGCCCGAAGAGTTCCCATCCCCTTCCGTCCGATTGCACGATACGCTACCGAAGCATCAGACGTGACGCTACAAAAGCCCGATGAAGATGTTACACAAGTGAACCAAGAAGACGTCGTTACAAAACCCAAATACACTTCCAGAGCTAAAACTGCAACTTCGACTGCGTCTGCCAAGCCAACTGCAAGATCTACACCTGCAGCCGCATCTACAAAGTCTGCATATGCGTCCAAGACATTTCCTCCAAAGCCCACGGCAAGCAGCAAGAGTGCTAAGCCGGAGAGCCCACACAAGCCTGTTACAGTGTCGAAGAGCATTCTGAGCGAGACTAGCGAGACGGACACGGAGAACACAGGCCACATCAACTGGGAGACGAGCTGGTATGGCCTTGGTGTGAAGGCTGTTACTCCCGAGCAGAATGAGATTCTCGCAAGACCAGTTGATGCTGACGATGTGGAGGTCAAGCCCGATGGTATCATCTACTTGCCAGAGGTCAAGTACCGACGGCGGCTGAACGAGGCGTTTGGTCCGATGGCTTGGGGAATGGTCCATCGTGGGGATGTCGTTATCGGCAATCAGATCGTGACGCGTGAATACGCTCTTATCGTGAACGGCCGGTAAGTGGACCAATTTCCAATATCATACCTTGACTAACAAAAGCAGAATGGTCTCCCAATCGCAGGGATACAACAATTACTTCAGCCCCGAATCTATCCCCGCTGCCATCGAGGGTGCCAAATCCAACGCCCTGATGCGCTGCTGCAAGGATCTCGGTATCGCCTCTGAACTCTGGGATCCCGTGTACATTCGCTGGTTCAAAAAGCATTACATAGAGGAAAAATGGGTCGAGCACACGGTCACTAAGAAGAAGAGGACTTTCTTTTATAAGAAAGGTCTCGCTGAGGCAACATACCCTTACAAGTTCTGTTAGGCATCTCATGTCTTCCTTGTACTACATTTGTATAGAATCTTGGGGTGAATCCCCTACTGTATGATATGGATGGGTTAGACGTATGGCTTTGGAGCATGGAGCGATACTGTAGTAATTCAGAGGAAAACGAATGGATCACGAATCATCAGACCAAGATCTACGGCTGTCTTAAAAGAAGAACGAGTTCATGTACACCAATTCTCATTTATAGATATGCACTGGAGCACTTATCGCGCCGAATATCAACGGGCCCATGATCACTCAAAACCCACCTCCCAGAATGGAGTTTCTATCTTTCCCTTCCAGAGGCGCTCGCTCCGCCACCTGATGCGGCATCACCTCCCCATCCCCAAGGAACCCATGAGGCTGATGCATTTCTAGTGCCAGCTCCCTGGTTTCTTCGGCGCACCTGACGATGGTCTTCGTCCGAACTAGTCTCTGCGTCGATCCTTTCGAAATCGGTCTCGCTGCGACTCTTGCTAATACCACTCCATCCGCTTAGACCACTAGGCGGTCGCTGGGTAGGTTCGTCCTCCTCATTGTTATCGTAACCTCCGTAGGCCATCGGATCGCGGCGAGAGCCTGTGCCTGTCTGGGCCCGCTGAGCTTCGGTACGAAGATCCTGGGCCTCGCGATCAAGTGCCGAAATCAGGACATTTAGGCGATCGCGCTGAGCCGAGATGAAGTCCATTCTGGCGCCAGACTCGCGAAGATGCGGTGGGATCAATGCGCCCGAGTTTGTGGGCTCACCTCCAACTGTTCTCGTACCAGCTGACTGTCCACCTGCACCTGCGTTGGTAGCAGCTGCCACAGCGCTGGAGAGTAGGCTGTAAAAGTCGGTTCCGCTGCTGGTATTACCAGCCCATCGCGCAGCAGGGACGTTGAATCGTGACAGAAGCGATTGTGTATAGCCTTGCGCAGGCTCGGGAGGAGGCGACTCGGGTTCGGATGGTGGAAGACCAAGGACCTTGACCTTGAACTGCTCGATAGCGAGCTTGAGGTAAGATATTCCGGCAGCAGTCAAGCGCTCATGTGCGCTTGCAATGAAGTCGTCAATCTGCGTCTCATTCTTTTCAAGATATGGATGGACATATTCTTCGTATAGACGTCGAGCGCCCTGTGTCTGTGGGAGGATAAGGTAGAGGAGGAATAGTAAACGGAAATAACCGTAAAGCGGAATCCTGCTAGTGTCAGTACAGAAGATGTCAGGTATGAGGTTTAGACATACCATGACACAATAAACCAAACCCAAGACTCAGCGAGAAGACAGCAACTGAGCACGACCCAGTACATCAGCCATGGTGTCAGCTGGGTGGGATCATGTGTCTTGAGCGCTTTGTAAGATGCAAAGATAGGAAACAGATAACAGGCAACAGAACTATTGAGAACGAGTGAACAGTCAGTAAATCGGGCATTGCGAACTGATTGGGGTGGTTATCGCAATTGCGAGTATGACGCCTCATGACGAAGAGGTATAGGGCTGAAGCTTACGATAAGAGCATAGGAAAAAGGTCAAACATGACTGCAATCCCAATCCGAGGTGAGACCTCGTGCGTGACTCGGCAGTTCAAGCTAAATGTGAGCGGGAGTTTGACCAACGGAGAAGAGGGTAATTGTCTCCGGGAGGTTGAAGGAAGAGAACGGAAAAGGTGTAATAGAATAAGTTCGAGGATACGGTAGGTAACGACGTTTAGTGGTTGAAGCTGAGCTGAGCTGAAAATGGACCTTAAGATGGTGAAGTGGCGCCGAAACTCCCGCGAGCGGGGGCGGGGCACTTCTTTTTCGCGTGACGGTGATGGCTTAGTGAGTGACCCACTGAAAGTAGGTGCTACAAATGGAGGAATATGTCTCGAGTCAAAAGAGCTGATCACCTGAATGCAGACTTGACCCTCGTGATGGAGGCAAGTGTCTTTTGCTGGGGCACAATGACGGCTTTTATTCTGACTCCTAAACTGAACACGGTTTCTTTGAGGGTTCTGACTCTTTCAACTGCGTAGTTGGTACACGTGTCTCGGTGCGAGCCCTGTATCTTGAAGACAAGTGTTTTCATATTCGTGGATAAAGCATCTAGGCATCAATAATTCGAAACATGCTGCAGCAATTTATATGCAGAAGACACATAATTACCGCAGATACACCACAACTGTGGCCTTGACTGTCGCCTGGTAAAAACACATGATACACGTCGTAATAGGATTGGGTGCTTACTCAACCAAGATCTTGGCAAGAAGAATATGGGAAAGAGAGAAATAAGAGGATATCTTATCAGTGACAGGATATCGATGTGGCTTACTTATCGGAATCTGAGAAGGGATATGGGCCACATTATACTCCCTCCGTAAATGGTTTCAGATTGAAGGATCAGTTGGCAACGGAGTCGGCATGACTCGGGCCCGGTCGGAGGCGCGGGCCAAGCGTCGTGCTCCGGCTTGGCTGAGCCCGAACTGCAACTCCAAGTCGGCCCCAATATCACGGCATATCAAGCAAATGTTGAGCCTCATTATTTGGCACAATAATATTCTCATTTGATCTCTACTCTCCATGAGGAAGCGCTAATTGATAATAGGTAGAATTGTCAGTCCTTGATCCAATGTGGCTTGTAAAGTATATATGATAGTTGTCAAGTCTACCCTACATATCTCTACAGCTTGGATCAACCTGGCTGTTGGTATCCAGAATTTAAGCATAGACTTACAGTCAGGACTATGCTCTAGGGCCGAGTACGAATACAACAATAATTGTAACGAAATGAATCTAAGATAAGATCAGCATCGGACCCTTAGTGTCCTGTCACGATGCAGCCATCATCAGATTCATCACCATGGGATGTATATCCGGTCACCACTGCCGAGCTAGATCATGCAAGGTACGGAAAGTAGATGCCCGTTGCGGCCGAGATAATCATGCTAGAACCAGTTGATATGGCGTAAGGATATCGAATTTCGCGATACATCGTTGCAATCCAATGGTTTCTGGGCTGGCCAGCCACGTTCTCTATCCCTAACAACAGTCCACGGCTAACTCTAACTCAACAACACTCGCGCGGACCATGCAATGCTGACGTGGAATCTCATTAAATCTAGAAATAGCTTATCAAGATCCCTCGTATTAATGCGAATTATAGAACTCTATCAAACTCAGCCTCATGTTTCATGTCCATTTCGCCCGATTCCGCCTCCCGCGGGCGCCCGATCCGTCCGGAGCCCCGGAGTGACCCACCCGATCCTGAAGTGCACAATCGACTTTTTACTCCACTGCAGCTGAAATAGTATAGGAATTCAGGATCAGTGGTGCCAGTTGACGTAGTTCGGTCGATATGCCCGCGGAGTCAGATCTTGGATATTTGTTCCGACGGGTGCCGAGATCTGATATCTTGAAACCTGCCCCTTTATAAAGACGTGAATCTGCCTGTCTTCCCCAGATATCCAAATCATCACATCATAACAAACATCCAACAGTAAACAAGTGCGAGCTCTGATCAGTTCCTGCATATCCAGCCCAGTCTCCAGCCCTACCGAAAAGTTTGTCAATAAACTCTTAACTCGACGAAGTTGTGAAGATCGCAAATATGAGCCACACACCACTACCCGGAGGGCTTATCTCATTCGGCTCCGATGCCAACTGTACACTCGAATTATGTCCCCTCGAGTCGAGTATACTGCGATACCAACCAAATCTTCCCGCCAATGCCATTTTCATCGGAGTATTCGGGTTGTCCATGGCTCTCCACATCTTCCAAGGTATCAAGATGAAGACATGGGGCTTCATGGCGAGCATGATGGCAGGATGTATTCTCGAGATTATCGGTTACATCGGACGACTCATCATCCACGATAACCCATTTGACTTTATTGGCTTTCTATTACAGATCAGTAAGTGTTTCTAAACCAGAATCAAACAAGGGATGGATGGAAAGGGAGAACTTGACTAACTCTGGCCCAGTCATGATCACCATTGCCCCCGTTTTCTTCTCTGCTGCCATCTATGTTCTTCTGTCCCAGGTGTAAGTCCCCCCTGTTCACTCAGAAGAGGCACAACTGACATTCTCAGCATCAACTTTGTCGACCCAAATGTCTCTCGATTCTCTCCCAAGTATTTCTACTGGATCTTCATCCCTTCCGACATTATCTCCCTCATCCTCCAAGCCGTCGGCGGTGCAGTCTCTGTTGTTTCCACCGCGCAGGAAGATGTCAAGACTGGAGAGGACGTCTCCATCGCTGGTCTCGTCTTCCAAGTCGTCACTCTACTTTGTTTCGTTGCTTTGTTCATCGACTATGTTGTCAGGGCTTCCAAGTCACCGGCCCGATATCGCCTTACCAAGCCCATTCTCACTTTCCTCTTCTTCCTTTTCCTCTCGACAATCTTCATCTTGATTCGATGTGGCTACCGAATTGCCGAGCTCAATGGAGGATACTTCAGTGCTATCTTTCGAGACGAAGGTCTCTACATCGCTCTTGAATCTTGGTAAGAGCCCTTGAAGCTTGTCAAATCTATAACAACTCACTAACTGTCGCCCTTAGCATGATGTGCATTGCTGTTCTTCTTCTGAATGCTGGCCACCCTGGATATGCTTTCAAGGAAACCCCCGAGTTTACCAAGGAAATGGACCAGATGGACCAAGACGATAATACCGTCTTTGGAGAATAAGTGTCATCTTCTTAAGACTCGTAAGATGAAAAACATGCTCGCCAGGACAAGGAAACTCCTCGACCAACCAGGGCAAGCTCAACGGATATTTCCTTTATTATCGGTATTGTGTCTCGAATTTTAGCGTGTATATAGAAAGTATGGCGAATGGCGTTAAGACATGGCAATAAATACCTGGAGGGTTATAGAAGCCTTTCTCATTTAGAAAGGTATGGCACGGGCTGTGCAGGCTTAGGTATCAACTACACACGATTGGGTGACATGAAGAAGCTTAGATCTCTTGTTGAGTCCGTGGTAAAAGTGTTATATAAAAAGATATGAAAGCAAATAGATAAAACAGTTTAAAATAAAGAAGAAGAAAAAAACATATAAAAAAAGGGATAGGGGAAAGGAGGAAAGAGAAATACATGCTCTAGCACCCGTTTAAGATCAGCTGTTTCCACTGTATGTAGTAAGTAGTATTGTCGAGTCTTCCACATGCATTCTGTAGTCTGCTCCGGGGATGAGATGAGAGGTAGATGACTATTCGCGCCGAAATAACACCTAGTGAACGCAGTATTGGAGCATCGTCAAAGGTGAGTTGATTGTCCAGAGCGATTAGATCTTCAGAACATCTTGTTCGCCTCTACCACTTCTGAGGTGATTTGTTTGACGGTCCATGTGAGAATCAGACCACGTCGACTTCGCCAAAGGTACCTACAGGGGACACAAAACTCCAGTTGAATCTAATCACTCGTATTGAGTCTCCATCCAATGCCGAGTGTGAACTTTCATTTGATGCTTCCCAAAGGGATGACGAGGAATGGGGGGTGAAAAACACCACTTTCGTACTCGTTCCTGAACATTGATCACTGATCAGTCACTCGTTCTGCGGCGTGCTGTTAGTTCTGAGTTATCTCCATCATTGCTAGGTCTGCCGTGCAATATGTAGAAGTTCATTTTGCAAATCGCAACAACAGTCGAAAACGGCCATGTTGGCTCCAATGACCAAGATATAGTCATGCATTGGCATCCAGCAGTTTGGCAGACCAGGAACATGAGGTTGCCCTCAAAGGCAGAACACCAATCAATGAAGAGCGATCCATTTCACACAGACAGCATTATTATGGCCTCCGATATGTTGGGTCTTCAATAGTAGAACGCTCACTGCTTCTCTCCGAATGTTGATATATAACAGTGCATCGGCCCGAGAACTGTACCCATTTTGGTTCGCTTGACATGTCGTCCATCAATCATTGTTGTGAGTTTGTTCATCATCAACTCACCCCGCGAATTGTGCCTGCGAGATTAAACGGAGCGGGTGGCTTTTTCAGAGTTTGGCGGCTTCATCAAGCTAGATCCGAGCCTAAGCAGGAGTGGATCGTTCAGTAGATTCTGCATGGCAAGCTTGCTGGGTAAGGGAGCTGGTATTGCTGAAATGAGGATAAGAACTCATGATTTCATAGCCGTATTTCGCCTCTAGCCGTGAATCGAATTAGGTACGGAGTACATCACGATGGTTGTTTGCTGTAATGCGGAGATTATACCTGACTAGTAATATTAGCTCGTGCAAGGACAAGGAGCAAAGACGTGGGATCCCAGAGTCAAGACGAATTGACAAGAGAGAAAATACTCAAGATGACGCAAAGGACCGAGGGACCCTCTCTGAGAAATTGAGGAAAATTGCAAAGTGAACACAACTTTGCAGAGGGCACCGTGTTCTTTGAACATGAGTATGTGGTTCTAGCAATGAATGGCTTGCGGTGTGGCAGAGGATCCCCATGAAATAGTCCGTTGAGCCCTTTCCGGGAGAAAATGAGCTGGTATAACAATTCTATACAGTGTACAGAGTATTGAATAACTAGATAAACAACGTCTCGTGGTTTCCTTTAAAGAGAGACCAGGATCTTAGTGGGCAGTTGTCATATAACATTGTGTTAAAGTTCCGGGGCTGTCCCTTATCCATTGCACCGGGTTTATAGATCCCGGAGGTAAATAAATTCACCGTCACCACCGTAAGCAGTATCCAATAATTGACCGGGGTTGTGAAGATTGATCTGTAATCAAATCGCCTTGAAAGTTTCTGAAGAAGCATGGGAAAATGGCCGCAGTTGACGAGACTGGACAAAGCGCCTGAACTGATAGGGCTCGAACACCGAATGTCATCATGTCGGTTGTTGGCGAGGCGAGCCGTTAGGCGGTCCCAGCGAGTTGGGTGAGAAACCGGGGTGCCAGGTCTATTCTCCTCAGAGTTGTGATCAACAAAGGCCATCCAATTGGGATCGCCGAAACTGAGCCGAGCTATTGCTCATACAAGCGAGGGCACTTGTTTATTAATAAAATCTGATTCTTTTTACTGCGGGCAGAATATGATATTTTGAACTTTGTTGGATTCGGATAGCGTAGCGACGCCCGGGACTAGTGTCGAGCAACTCTCATAAACCAATAATTAAGGACCATTAGTATAGCCGCATACATGTGGTACAAATTGAGGACTTTCGTACCAGGAGAAACATCGCTCATGCGAAGAAGGAGGTCGAGCTGGTGGTTGCTTTTGATGATATGGGGAGAATATTTTCCGCGTCTCAGCAGTTCCCAGCAAGTTTGAAGAAGGTAGATCCGATTTGCACGATGTCACCTTTCCAACCTAAGGTAAAACCCATGTGCGTAGCATCCACCACGACAGAAGTGCCTGGCAGCCCACCTTTTGTTCCCTTGAACGTTGCGGCCAAGATTGGATTTAGCTCCAGGCACAGATCTGTTATTGGCTCGCGGAACTCTCCCACCGGTGCCGCCAACCAGGAGCTGATATGAGCCTGACATCGGAGTTAGCGAGCGCTCGCCGCAGAGGAGCGCCGCCTAATAATGGCAGTTGGCTTCAAGTGAGAACCATAGAATAGCCGTTATAGTACAGTTTCATCGAGACTGCCATAGGAAGCATGTATTCATACCAATTTTGTGGGCGTTTGACAAAGGAAGAATAATCTATTCAGAGACCTTGCCCAAGGCTTAAGCGACATCAGGCCTCTGCGAGCTACCACGCCCCAGACAACTCCTTTTCCGAGTTGTACAACGACGGCAGCAATGACCTCAGAGGCTTATGATACTTCGAGAAGACGGGGAATTGTTGAGAGCTACCTCCGCTACATGATCGGTGCGGCTTCTGTCTGCTGAGTAAGATCGAATCTCGGGAATTATGAAGCCACGAGTGGAGCACCTTCATCTTGTTACTATGCTGATCTTCTGACCATTAAGTCATTCTTTCGTAGAAGAAGTGGTAGGACTGCGCTGACTGCGTTTGTAGAATTAGGTTCTGTAAAAGAAACGGGGGTTAGATGCCATTTTACACCTCAGACATGTGCAACCAGGTACAAAGGGGTCGCACTATTTTGTTCTTCTCGCAAAATAACCCCGGACGGGCTGTGATCGAGGAAAAGTCGTGACTGAGGACCCAAGCATTAGTCGAGTATGCTAGGAGTAGGAGGGAGCAAAGCTAGTAAATCGACAACGTTAAGCCCTGATTCGTCAAACAGAGAGTTGAGCTTAAAGCGAGCAAGGACTAGCAAAGTAGCAACATGCGTTGTAAGCCAATGCAATAGCATAGGCAGAGTTGGGTTGTGGGACGGGTCGATCAGGTTCCGAGGATGGCGCTTTCAACTGGGGAGCCTCCTCCGTTAGTGGCGAGTTTCTTGGTGGTTTGTGAGGTCAAGTACTATATGACAGTATGTACCTAGTGTCGGTTCTGTGATGCGAATGATTTCATCAGTATCGGCTCTGTTACTGGTGTTGACATTGAGATTTGAATGGGACTACTGCAGGGGCTCTCGCCTGAGGTCTGGTCATTGGCTGGTGAGGACGGTAGAGGATCTTGCAAGTAGGTAGGTACGGGTACCTGTTACCCCATAACTAAGTGCTGACGGGTGAGCAACTGAAAATGTCCGCGCTGTAACGCTGTAACCAACATCCGATTTGACACCGTTAGTCCTGGGTGCTAATACAATGGAAAAAGAAAATCGGTGAGCATCCTCCAAATGTGGTTATTGCGATGGACATTGCCCAACTCTTGCAACTATGGCTGCAGGATGTGGCTGCAAGCCCCAACGGTAATCAACACAAGTCAGAGTTTAGCCTAGCGTGCGATGGATAACGGCTGCGATCCGTCCAATCTCCATTCGTCGTCACAAGGGAGCGCCTTTTCTGTTTTGGACTTTTGAGTTTCCACCGTTCGTTCTTGAGCTCCAAGGGAGTTTAGATACTTTGATAACGGAGCCCAAGACGTTTAGCCGTCGCTGTACCGAGTACTAGGGAACGGATGGCACGAGACGCCAATGTGACCAGAACGCGTCCCTTGCAGTAGCTTCTGCAACGGGTGGTGGTTCTTGCTCGAGTGGAGAAGGTCTCAGGCTCCAAGCCTCCAAGGTGCTGACCCCTTAAGCCAAGTATGAGACTGGCGAGCGACAAAGAGGGGACTGATGACATTGCTTCTTAGCACTGCAGCCACTGTCTCGTACCCTGTTGATCTTTGAAGGGTCGGATGATAAAGCCAATGGATGGTTTTGTATGCTCCTTTGAAGCATGATAGGTTGCACTGGAAACATTTGCGACGGAAACCTGGTTTCGTATCAACGTCACAGCATCTGTAACATATCATTTCCACCTCAACATCAAGCTGCGCGAATACGTATTTCGGGGCATTCGAGATAGGGCATTGGCTGCTACTCCGATCCCTTGAGGCGTCCAAATACCAAGACGAAGATGGGAGTGGCGGACGGGTATGTAAGACGGGGGAGACCAGGCGTTTGCAGCCTGCAGCGAGCAAAGCGGTTGCCCATCATGCATGGCCCAACAAACGTGGGCAGAGTCTACAGAGCTGGGCAGTAAAAGTAAGGTAACCAAAGCCATGGATCTTTATGTGCGACACGGCATGGTTTGTGGCGGACGCAGGCGTCTGACTGACCTGGGATTCGGTTGTTAAATTGTAGCGTCGGACATGTGTAGTATTTTGTACTCACGAACAGGAG